AGTGCCTCCACCTCGGTCCCCTCGCGCCCCCGACCGAGTCGCGAGCATCAATCTGCGGAGTGTGGCAATCGCTGTAAACAACAAAATTTGCGCCACACCAACAGCCCAGGCTGGCACAATGACGAATTCATGTTGTTGCCAGCTTGGGTAAGTGATGACTTCACCTGCCAAATGTTTCTTTTCCCACATTTTTCGGGCACCTGCGACCTACGTTGCTGCAGTGGGTTGCAGCGGCTCCGGCAGGCAGCTGGGCAAAGGTGGGCAAGCGTCGTGCAGAACGCCCTGCAAGCCGGCACCTGCGCGCCAAGCATGGGGCCGGTGATGAGCACAGACCCGAGCAGAGTGGCAGCGTCTGCCCCCTATCCTCCACCAGTTTTGCTCACGCCGCCACGAGGGCTTTCTGCGGGCATGCTAATGCGTGATCGCCATAATGGCGCATGCCTCCGCAGCGGGATTGTGTCAAGTCGCACGATCTGCATCTCCGCGGGCGCCAAGGTGACCGCTGGCTCAGAAGGTACCACAGTCAGCCATGCGCCAGCTGGCGGGCCCGCCTGTCGAACTCAGGAGAGCCTGGCCGGACGGCGACAAGGATGGAAGCAGATGGAAGCAGCACACAGTCGCGATAAAATCGGTTGCGATCCGCGATGCGTGCCGCTGGCAGCCATGCGGCCAGGCGCCCAAGCCTTCCTCGCGTGGTGTTGGCAGGTGGACGCCATCCAGCAGGACCACCCACGATGGGCACGCATCCCACCCTTCCTACGCAGGAAACCGTGAAGGACGGGCAGGGTGCATGCAAAACGGGATGGGCATCAGCCCACACCACCCAGTATGCAGCAGGCACTTCTGTGTTTTTGCGGCCCAAGCTGCTGACAAGCCCGCCAGAGCCGCGACCCTGTCCATCCCTGTCCAAAGCGTCCGGCGGGGTGCCTCCCAAGCACGCGAGGAGCGTGTCGCGGATGGCGCCGCAGCATACAGTACGATGACGTTGGGCGTGACCGTGCCGATGGCGTGGATAGCCCACGGGGCCGTGCACAGGGCCAACAGCAGCCATGCGCACTGTAGGTCAGGCAACTGGGGTAGCTCCTGCAACAAGCGCCTTGTATCCGCTCGTCGGCCCAGGCTCGGACGAACTCCGGGCTGCCAACGGGCGTGCCGAGCACAACGGTGCCTCGCTCTGGCAGCGGTCTATCCCCGCGCCGCACGTCCTCGCCCAACTCGCCGATCCCAGGCCACGCTTCCAGGCCCAAGCTGAGGCATGATTCATGGTCAGAGTTGTGAGACAACGCAATGGCAGTTCAGCTTCAAACACAGCTAGCAACAAGCACAAAAACAAAAGGATGCATCAGTACCGGCAATGCTATCGCGGAAGTTGACGCTGCCCGCGACCCAACAAGAGCGGTGACAAACTCAGCGGCCTGCGGAAGCATTTCCCAGCTGTGCGGCGTGGCATGCCCAGTAACTCCCGACAGACTTTGGCAGCCGCTCGCTCAGGTGGGCCCCCATGCGAGCCGAGCTTCGGCAGGAGGAGCCGACTCAAAAGGAGAGCTCGGAACAGCGGAGAGTCCAGGCGAGGTGGGCCATACACTCAACACGTCGGCTGCGTACGGTCCAGCCTGACTGAGTAGGGCGGTGGAGGAAGCATCCAGTTCTCGCAATTTCGACGGCCTTGGACGCGGCATGCCAGCCACGAGTGCTGTCGAGCTGCAGAGATCTTTGGCGAAGAGCTCGGAACCAACATCACGCAATCACTGCGTAAGCAAGTCACTCATGTACCAAGGTCCTAAATGCCCTTCTCAGTTACAGAATGGATCTGGGATCCAAGTTCGAATCTCACTTGCCGACGAAGCAAAATGTCGCGTGCTGTTTTCATGGCCGTCTTTGTATTGAAAAAGGGCTTCCAAGCTAAGCACGTTTGATCTCCGAGCTTGCTGTCGCCAGCGGCGGCGCTGTTGGGAATAAGCGACGCATTGCAAGAGTGCATGTGACAGGGAGTCAGTGCCATTGGCGTAAAGTCGGCATGAGTCAAGTGAAGTATCATACCGTTGCGATGACGTGCAGAGCGCCCGTCCAAGAAGTCATGATGTCCACACCGCGCTAGACCCTAGAATCTGGCAACCACGGGACAAGCATGCCTGTAAACGCCCCTGTGCAGATACGGTCGTGTCTGCACTCCAAGGAGTCAGTGCCTTGGAAAAAGCTTGAATAAAGCAAGTTGGAATGCCGAGGTACGGCATCGCATATGCGACGCAACCAAGACTTCTCAACCGTCTGGGGTGTTCCGGCGGCGATGCCCCAGTTTGAGGGAGGAGCTACTCCAATCCGAGCGGTCTGCACAGGCGCAACAATGCCACGTCAGGCCGGTTGGAAGGCCCAGTTGCCGACATCGCTATCCGGAGCGAGTTGACAACATCTGAGTGGATCCCGCCGCTGTTCCACACACGAGTCCTAGCAGGGTTGAAGCGGAGCTGGGATGCATCGTCAAGGAAGGCCTAATTAGGCGTGACACGGCGTGCTCGTCGGGGCGGAGGTCTGCTTGCCTGCCGGCATTAGCGGGTCTCCTTCTTCACCGCTTTCAGCTTGGGGCAGCAAGGCAAGAAGGCTGAAAGCTTGCAGCTCGTGCAATGCCGATCTCCGCTCCGATCCGTGCACCGCATACTGGTGCGGGCAAGCGGCATCAAGCTGTCGCGAGAACTGCTGAGCCAAGGTGTGGGGCAACAAGTCTCTCAGCTTGTTAAGTTCGAGGAGATCCCTCAATGTGGCCGACACACCAGGCTGACGGCCCACGCGGGCAGCACGGGGCATTTTCAAAGAGGCCAGCGTATCTGTCATCCACGACCGTGTGGGGGCTAGCGCTTGCAAACTCTGCAAACTCCCAGCTACTGCCGTCAAGCAACTCTGATTCCTTTGGAACGAGGCATCCAAAGCTTGCTCGTGCGACGGTTTTGCATTGGCGTTCGGACTTGTTTGTGGGTCTTCGTATTCGTGTCTCTGTCTGTGAAGGCAAATGCTGACAAGGTTCCTGAAGTTTGCGAACCCGTCTGTACCTGCAAATAGGTCTCCATACATTGCAGCGGGTCTTCCAGGGTGGACTTGAAATCACCCAACCTGGAATCGAGATCCCGAAACTTCTTTCTGGAGGTTGTGGAACCGAAGCTTAAAAGCACTGTGGTTTGGCCACTGAGCTTGCGCATCACGCACCTCATGCTTGCCGGTAAGGGCTCCATCCACGTGGCACAACCAAGCGCAGTCCCCGAGCTGCTTGCTCCACGGGAAGCTCGGCGAGTGGGCAGCCGACTCGGTGTTTTTAATGTTGACTAAATCCAGGAAAACCAAGCTTGTGCGTGACTACGAGCCGATCGATACGCTGTAGATGCTAGTTTTACCAATTCTTCCTTTATGTGACGACGCACTGCTGGCGGCTGGCCAATTCATGTCCACGTCATCACAACACATCATCACAGCATGCCATCCAAGCCACAGTTTGACACATCATGACACATCTCATGACAGATGATACTTTGCTTGTTGGTGATCTTGCCCAACAAAACATACAATAGAGATGATAAGAACAATGGGTTTATGTGTACGATTGTGTGCGACCAGTGTGCGACAAATCGGCTCGGTCGTCAATGCTTAAAACACCCAATTTGATGACAACCCAGGGCCAACCACCTGATCGAGTTTGGTCTGATGCAAACATATGACAATGTACTGAATTGTACATGGCACCTCCACGCCCGAACCCTGATTCGGCTTAGTTTGGCATGAGATCATGCACGAAAGGAAGCAACGCGTCCATCCAAGTTGTGCAGATGCAGAGCTGGCTAGAAAAGCTTTCACTGTCTTTCACTGCTTTGGAAGGTTGCAATTGCAGGTCTCAGTGGAGCAGACAGCTGGGCATGACATCATGCAGGATGGTTTCGTGAGTGCTTAGTATGGTTCTGAACGAGGTTACTTCATTGCGACATCGTGACTTGACGTGCGGGCAGGCCTCGCCATGATGTTGCCACTACGCACTGACAGCCTACAAGTAGATGGGCATGTGATGGTGCATCTATGTGCATCTCGTCAGTGTATCCACAGTGCTGAAAGTATTGTTCCTTGGACCTCCGTGCTAGGCGCTAATTGGCTGCTCTGAGCCACTGCACACAGGTCGATGACCGCAGTGGCAGTGCTAATGCCGCTCCAACCTCCTGACAGAGCTGCCCGGCGGCACTCCGCAATGCAAAATGCGGTGACGTTCGTGTGGCCCTGTGCGTCGTCAAATCACAGCACAATGCTCCTTCGCGTGGTGTGGCGCGAAGTCTTGGGCGCGCATGCTGTTATCTTCAGCATCGCAACTGGCTGAGATCATGTGTGGCCACACCTTGAGACCTCAGTGCGGAGGCCGGAGCCTCTGCCAGCGTCCTCCGCACAGCCCGGCCAGGCCGTTGAGGGCCGGTGGGTCCCCACCCGCAGTGCCAGCATGGAGGACCGGCAACTCACATGCGCCGAAGGCCTGCAAGACCGCGAAAGCAAGAAAGGGGGAGACCGTCGGCTTGTGAAGACTGCAATCGCGGCCGGCCATAGAAGGGAAGGAACCGCTAGCCCCCTGGCACATAATTGGTCGCAGTTTTCAGGCATTCCATCAACACTCGTTGTTGACAAGCTTGAGCGCTTTTGCCCAGAATGGCAAGTGGCAAGCGAAAACAGGCTCGGATTGAAGCCGCTGCCGCTTGCAACCTCTGCTTCATCTTCGTGTATACGAGCACGTGTTGCTCATCGCTGATCCGGTCTCGTTGCCGGCTATCTCTTCGAAGGTAAGTTTGCCACATGAATGCTTCAAGCTGTCAACCAGCCAGAGTTGCGCAACTACCAGCTCGCTACACAGAAATTGCCGCCAGGCGTACTGACTTTACACCGTGCACCCTACAGTACTCAGGAAGGCGTGTCTATAGGCCAAGCGTGAAGCACATCTCGTGCGATCCACGGATGTCTGAGGACGGGGGGGTTCCGATTCGTCAGCAGGGCCGGGGGAGTCGGCGGCGCCCGACGTGCTCGAAGAAACGCTTGGTGCCAGCGCGTATCAGACCCAGACGATGTTTGTCGCAGATCGTAATGCGAGGCATCAGCGAGCTTGCAACAGTGGCTGTGTCAAAGGTGCTGTAACCTACTGACTCATAGTGGCAATATGTGAGAGTACATGAAACAAAGGCAGGGAAGACGGCCTCTGATGCATCTGCGCGATGCAACGCTGCTGCGAGGCGTGAGCGAAGGTCCTGCGTAGCAAAGACTCCGAGTGCGAAAGAAAGTGGCCTTATGTACAACATGGGGCATCTGCAAGATGGCACCGCTCACTAGACAGATACTATGCTGGACAAGCCTCGGCTTGGGCTTCCAGTGCCTGTCACGGAGCTGCGCTACACGATGTCAAGTCAGCGACGTCGCAACCGCCCTGACTCCTGCCTTCACGCTCGCTGCGTCCGCCAGCCCTTGGCTGATCGGATCAGCTCATCAAACTCTGCCTATATTATGCTGCCCAGAACATTTTGAAAAGTATGCCAAAGCATAATGGCATGACATGGCCATCTTGCGCCAGTGACCAGCCAAGCCAGCGTTACAGTCCAGCTAAGGGCTCACTCCGAACAGAACTCGGTGTCAGCTGCAACACTCGATGTTGACGATTGAAGCAGTCAAGCCACGCATTTCCTGCGCCATCTTCGTAGCAAGTGCCGTGGGTGAGCTTGTGTCGACACCATCAGCATACGGGGCGCCACTGCGTCCTGTACTTTCAAAGTGATAGCTTCAGCTGCAGCAGACGAGTCTGTCGGTGTCTGTCCCGGCGGGGACTGCAAGCATCTCGTCCTTCAGCCCGCTGAGATATCAGCCGAAGGTGTTTCAGAGCAACCTCCCAACATGAATAAAGATGTGCCAGCAAAAAAGCCCGGAAAACTCCGACAAGCGACATCTTGTACTCGATGGCACTCCACACATGCCTTGATTCTGGCCTGGCTGCGGTCAAAGACCACAGTGCCTTTGTCAGCAATACAACTACACGAGACAACAAACTAGCGCGCTGGAATGCACTGATGTAACGGACAAGTTGCAATTGCGGCACTCCGCATTTATGTCCAAGACTGTGCCCTCGTCACCTGGTCCACTACACAAAGAACGTGGACAAACACCAACACCCTTGGCATGGCCTTCTTCGAAATCTGCGAAGTGTCGCCCGCGAAGCACACGGACACGGCATCCAACAGTGAAGCTGCTCATTCGCACATGTCTGCTAAACTTAGGAGAATCCACCAGCACACTGCCAAGTTCTGGCCATCCATCGAACTACCGACAACACGGCTAGGTAACATTCGACGGATCTTAGATTTGCAGTCATTGGCATGCTGTCAGCGAGCTTTATGCCAAAGCAGCTGGATGCGTTCGCACTGCCAACGACAGATGATCAAAGGGCAGTTGAGCATGAAACAGAATTGCTGGGACATGTGCGCACGTGCCGACTTCTAGACAGTGTGTCTTCCAGCGCTGCTTGTGTTGGCATGCCTATGTTTCTCCCTGCCACCACTGATACAGTTGCTTCTAATTCTGATTTCCTTGTGGGTCCTTCTGCCCTTGCCATCAGACCGGGTTTCAAGGGGCCTGAGTGCTGAACGAGACTTGTGGGTTCATGTGCTGCGATAGAAAGCGGCGAACCAGCAGGTCTACGAAGCAACACACAAGGAGCTGCCAATTGGAAAAAGGTCTACTCAAAGCAACACATGGTGCTCAGCAGAGTGAAGTGCAGAGCAGGGCAGGGCACAGGTGTGTGGCGTGGCACGGCGTGGACCCCGGAGTGCAGTGGAGCGGGGAGACGCTGAGAAGTCACTGAAAGTCGAGTCTTGGAAATCCGATTAATTAACCCCACAGCAGGAGTGTGCTGGAAGGCCCTGTTCGTCAGAGATGTTCGAGGCTGTGCTCAGATGCTCTTTGGCAACTTGTGAAACTCCGCTCCAAGTCTTTGGAATATCTCCAAGTGAAGCAGCTACGGCCTGGAAAAAGCAAAGGCCACGGCGGCACAAATGCTGCTACACACTCAAATCTCTCCCTGAATTTGCACTTGCATCTTCCGGAACTCCTGCCATGCTGCTCGCAGCCCAGCACTGGGCAACTGTGCGTGCGCGTGGCACGAGTGTGGCACGGGCACTCCTTCAGCATGTTCTCCCAGTTGGAGTCTTTCCGGGTTATGTTGGCACAGTTCATGACGACCTTATTTACGAATACAGTCCAGTACGATCGAATAGACATCTCCGCTGAAAGGTGAATGGAAAGCCGTTGCAGCATGCTAATTCTCAGGACGGTTTCAGAGTAAGTCCTTGGCCTTCCGGAACCGTGTCTTCAAGTGTGCCATCTGCTCAATCTCTGGCACGCCCAGCATCTGCACAAGCGCTGAACATCATCTACAAACCAACAATGCGAAAGGACCAGCTCAGCCAATTCTGCAAGCCCTCCCGCCAGCCGTGTGCGACTGTCTGCATTTGGCAAAAGCTCTTGCTTGTGATGTGTTTTCCCTGCGAACATCAGTACTCGTAAGGACACCGCTGGAAGAAGCACAACCCTCCTGCGGCGTGCCATGACTCCCTGAGCATGCTGAGATGCGCAGGACCTGCCTTAATTTAACAGCTGGCACCGAGCATTACATCCATACACAGCTTCGGCTACGTGCACCAAGACACCCACTGCATCCCACTGTAAACGCATGCAGCCACACGCAATCACACATGTGGACATGCACACAAACAAGCAAACAAGCACGCTTGTTGAATAATGTCATGATTCGGTCTGCCGAGCCTCTGAAGTTTTCTGGTACCCCAGATCACCAAACGTTAGAACGTCAAACTTTGTGCCGCACATGTGATGAAGCTGAAAACTTGTACCAAATTCCGCAAACTGACCACCGGGGCATACAAAACATGTTTGACGTATCAGCCTCATGTGAGACAGACCCCACCTCGAAGAGCGCATTGTCATTTTGCTCCTGGTCGAGAATAAGACACTGTATGGAAGAACGGAACGGAAAGAATCACGTCGCTGATGATGAGGACCTCTTCTTCGTTGCGCGTGGCATCCTCCGTGTTCCGATCCACATTCAAAACCTTCATTGCACCGCGGGCCTGTTCCACCTCACAACCATTGCAGTCTGAGGCGACAGACCAGAAAGAACACGGAGACCCGCAGCTCGTCCTGGCATCGCTTCCCACCCCGTGCCCCAAGCATCAAAGGCAGCCCTGGGCAGTTCGAGCTTGGGAGCATCTCTGTTCTGCAAGCCCCGACACAGAAAACACGGGTAGCAAACTGCATTGGATTGGCATTCATGCGAGGAGCACTACAAGAAGACCTCCTCTGCAGATCCCTTAGCGATAGACGGAGCCTCATTGAGGAGGTGGAAGAGGCAATCCCTTGCCTCCAGGTACAGGTGGCTTGAACAGCAAATCTGGTGTGATCGGGGGCGGTGGCAGGCGAACAGTGTATGCTTCCTTGCTCAGACTGGACAGTGATCACGAGCCTCAAAACTTGCATCGCGAGGGGACAAAGCACGACATGGACCGCGATGACTCACCAGAACCCTTCTCCGACATCCATCGTGGAATCGTTTGAACTGACGAAGAGCGATGGTTCATAGAACCGACCAGTTTGTGTGATCAATGCGTACATACACCTGCAGAGTACAGTAGAGGCCTCTACGCAGTCTAAGAGTCCTAGCCAGGAGTCCTGGCAAAGGCCTCGAGTAATAATCAGCACATTGAAGCAGCATTTCTGCAGCAACCCCTCTCAAGTAATGCAGCTTCCCCAATCCTTCTGCCGCGAAGAACATAAATCATGCGAAGTGCCCCGCCGCTGTCTCCCTGCTTCTCTCACGCTTCCCCCAAAACAAAAATGGCGGATCGAGGGATTCGCCCGGTGGGGTCCAAACCGTCTAAGAATGCTGGTGCTGCCCACGCCTTGCTGAGCCTGTGAAAGTTCTCCTTTGAGCTACCGCGGAAGAGTTCATGTCATATCTTCAAAGCGAAAAGGCAAAAGTGCAGAACGTCTTTGAGGCTCCTTGGTGAGATCGAAGCAGTCCGGAGAGAAAGCGTCGACCTGGCTACAAGTAGATGGGTGCTCCGCTGCTCGCTCCGAAGCAGAAGCAGACTGGGCGTCCCAGCCACAAAGATCACGCAATGGATGTGCAGATACCTGTCCATATCTCTCAGACGGAAGAAGGACCCAGCTTGCAAGTGCTGAAGTCCGAGGTCTGACTGCTTAACCCTCTCTCACGTCTGCCTCTCTGGCTCTGACTCAAAAGTTCCTTATTTCGCGCTCGGGGCCGCAAAGCCTGTAAAACATCGGCCACATGGGCCGCAACACGTCGTCCCCGGGCACTTCCCAAATGCCATACTGCCTCAGCTGCGGGCAATCTCTCTTGGAGCTTGCATCTTCGAGCTGTGCACTTTTGCTGCTTGTGTGAGGCTGGAGCCCAATGGATGGGCTGCTAAACTCTTCGAAATGGTACCTGTCAGACACTGTGCTGCGCTTTGACGAGTGCAGGCACTGCCAAGGGCACCCAGGATCTTTCTTGTCCTTCTTCAGGAATTTCATGTCTTTCTTGACATCATCTTTCTTGTACCTGAGCAGCTGCACGCAGGCCACCTGCCCTACCATCATGCGATTGATGCCAAAACGTCTGGGCTCCGCACCCGTTGATTCTCAACTTGTACAGGAAGGTGGTCTTTCCGGCCCCTTCTAGGCCGAGCATCAAAAACTGGTAGGTCTCGGCCAGACACGGACAATTCCAGGGCTTGTCTCCGTCCAGATCTCAATATGCACAGTCCGTGCAACAAACCCTCGGACGAACAACGCCAACATCCAAGACTGTTCGCGTGGCATTTTCCGTGATCTCCATTCCGGGCGCCAGGCCTGCTGTCCAGCAAGCAGGCTGAACCTGCAGGTCTGTTTCGCCCTTTTTGCATCCCTCGTCAATTCCTGCACCCTGCCGGCCTGTCCGTGACAGCAGAAACGCATTGCAGCATGGCGCGGCAGGTGCGAGCCAGCTCGAAAAGGCGGCACAGTTCAAGATCTTCCTTCAACCGGATCCTTGCATCTTATCACCCCACATGACCCCATGTTTGCCTCGCCTCCGCTTGCGTACTCTTCATTGCATACAACTCTGTATGCGTGTGACTCGTAGCGCTCGAGGATTCCTACTCTTCTCGTTGAAGGCATCGACGTGGCTGCGTGCGAAGAAGGCCATGCAATGTGAATAGCAAGTCGGAGCTGCATCGGCTCAGCGCGTCTTTGCCGCCTGGAGAGCAGCCCTCTCAAGATCGAAAACCAGAAAGGCTTCTACACATTCAGGCTTAGCCCCTCTGTCGAAATCTGATCTCTTTCAAGCTACTCTGCGACCGCACGACACGAAATGCCACAGTATGTGGGAGAGCAATTATGTACACGCTCGCTGCGAGCATCGATGCACATCAGAAAGCCTCACATGCTTCCAGAAGCGAGTTCGGAGTCAGCAGGCAACTTCCGCCTTGGCACGTCAGCTCCCGCTGTGCAAGAGCATGTCGCGGTCATTACCCAAAGTCAGCATTCGGGGTGCACGATAAGGAGAAGGACCAGGGCCCGTGCCGATGTAGGCTCGCAGGCCCAGCGGGGGCGCAGCTGCAGCCTCCGTGTTTCGGTTGGAGCACGAACGAAGCCTTGCGCCTCTCGAAAGCCGAAGCCTCGTGGGCCGCCCGGATCTCAGGGAGCGTAATGCCGCCGATGACAAAGATGGCGACCTCGTTGTCTGACTTTCGGGCGGCTTCTGGGAAAGTGCCGGGCATCCAGCGGAGCTACCGGGAGTGCGTCCGGCTGAGGGATCGCCCCTTGCAAGGCGCAGTCACTGATTTTAAGACATTCGTCAAGGTTTGCCGGCTACTTGCAACAAGTCCAGCCTCAGGCAGCGCACTTGAGATGACTGTGCTGTTCCAGCCTGAGCCAGAGAAACCAAACGAATTCTCAGGCCAGCCTCTACATGTTGCTTGGGTGATGTCCGGATGCTGCGGAGCATGCTCTCGGCAATGTCTTCTCAACGGAAAGAATCTGTCCGGCATGCATGGAGCATCTAACGCCCAATGCGCAGACACAACTTCGTGCGATTGATGGATATAACGACCCGGCAATTCTCGCAGGACTCAGCTATGTTGGACACATTCTTCACGTTTCTTCACGTCCGCTGCCAATGCAGAAGCTCAGGCATCTTCCGCATCGTTGAACATCGAAGCAATTTTGGGTTGCCAACGGCAGAGGCGAGCCTTGCCTTAGTGGGTATCCGCAAAGACACCGCGCAAACGACCTTGATCTGTAGGGACCAGGCGAGGGCTCACTGGCTCGGCACCTGGCAAATGCAAGCAACAACACAGTAAACACCGCTGACACTCTATGCAATCTCATACAAGCCTGACCTGCACCCGGCTCAGCTTCGGGTCGCTGGCGGGGCCAGCGCCGTCGCTCAGCCTGTGTCACAGTCGCCGCTTCACTGCTCGCAGGCTGGACACTCGGCCGCTCGAACTCGGCTGAGTCGTGCACATGCTTGCTCCGATAGCGGCGTACAACCTCAGTCTACCCAACTGGTGTCTCAATGGTTGGCTGCACAGTCCAGTCACAGCTGCGCCTCGATGAACTTCTGAAGCCTGCGCAGGTCCTGCGCAGGCAGGAAGGGTGCCTGCCAGGGAGGATCGGCACGAAGAGAAACCCCTCGGCCAGTGCGAGCCGAGGGGCTGCGAGCTCCGCAACACCAAGACGTTGCCCAGGTCCCGGACCTGACGGAAGTCGTGCCAGAAGGCAGACCGTAACTATCCTGTCGGACCTAGCAAACCTCACATTGCGATGGACAGGCCTAGAATCCTGGAAGTCGCTACCACCAATGTCGCAGCTGTGCATGACTTTGCAAGTCGATAAGCAAATCACGACATGGACTTGCGTGTCAGAACGCACAAGTCTTGCCTCAAGTTTATAAACCTCCCTGCCCAGCCCTTCTCATCATCTTTCGCTAAGCTCCGACCTGTCTCGAGCACTTTGGTCGCCTGAATAACGCAGGCAAGTGCTCGCATGTTCCGGGCAAAGTCGGGTGGTCGCCTCACAAAGCATGAGAAGGCGAAGCTTGGTGCTGGTGTCCTGCGTTGGATCCTGGTCTGGCAAGATCTGACACTCTCCGACACGAGCCACACCACAGCCACAGCACCGCTCGTGTCCTGAAGAAATGACAGCAGGTCTCTCTCGATGGACTTCGGGTTCAACGGCACCTGTGCAACCCCCACAGTTCGAATCGGCAGGCCGATTCTGGATGACGGGCTCCAGCATTGCATCTCATGAAGACATCCCGCAACATGCTGCAAAGCCCGCTGAGCATTAATCGAATGTTTCTCGGCGACCAGCCCCACTTCTGGAGACTCCCGTTGCCATGTCCTGCGGGTCCAGCACTCTGAGTTTGCCAAGACTCTCTGGGTGTGATACCTCCCTCCGGCCTGCTCCAGCGTGGCCAGTTCGATCAGCCGCCTCTGTCTTCGCTCTGCTTGTGAGACATCGAAGATGACACTTGCTCATTGCGGACGCGCACACAACAAACAAACGAACGAACCAACAAACCAACGAACCAACCAAGCCACCCACAACCAAGCCACCCACAAACAAAAACACGCAAACAAACCAACCAACCGACCAACCAACCAACAAACAAACAAACAACGAACCAACCAACCAACTAACCAACGAACAGAAACACGCAAACAAACAAACACACAAGCAAATACACCCACACACACACACACAGAGAGAGAGAGACACACGTGCGCGCAGACACACACACACACACAATTTTGAAATCACAAGGCTGGTCGGCATAGCGAGACTCAAGCTTGACGAGCAAGATGTGGATTTATCGAGTTGTGCACGTCTGCTCATGCGTCGCTACATAGCAGTTAGAGCGCTCAAAACTCACATGGGCATGTGTAGATTGCGGCAAGCGCGCATGAAGGTCAAGTGCGTGAGAAAAGCGAAAACAGAAGTGGCTGCTCGGGGCCCAGTTTTTGTTTCTATTTCTGCTGCCGCAAGGGCACAGGCTTTTCGCAGACTGGTCGCTGCCTTCGTTGGCAGGAAAACAACCATCAGTGCTCCTGCCCCCCCTGTGTCTGCAAGCTTCGCGTGGCTGTGGAAAGGAAGCATAAAAAACGGTTCGAGCCATCGCATGTTGACATGATGCAAGGTGTATCGCATGTACAGCAGATGACACAAACAACCAAGCATGCGTGGTCAGCGTACCTATATCGCATCAACTGAGAGATAGGGCCATGTATAACAAAACATGTCACATAGCTTCTTTGCATTCTCTCGAATATGCCAAGCCAAATCAAAAGCTGCGATGCGTAAAAGCCGGCAATGTGGGGTAAGTTGAGTTCGAGCTCGCGTCGGAAAGAAGCGAAGTCTCTCCCGCTTTGGGAAGTTACAGCAAAACGGGCGGGGAGAAGGGGGCAGGAGGTGGCTGCGGTGCAGTTTGTTTCAGGGTTTAGGGGTTAGAGGTTCAGGATTTAGGGGTTTAGGAGTTCATGGGAACAGAACACAAAAGTGTGATCTTCGAATTTCTCGCATCAAGCAGGAAGACATTCGACCATGCTCCAGCGCAGCTTTGCTCGTAGATGCTGAGTTGAACTTGATATCAGATCTGAGATCCAGGCTTTGAAGCGACGATGTTCTGGCCAAGGCATCATATTGATACATGCAAATCCGTTGGTCAATGAAGCTGCGGTTTGTGATAATTTGTCTGACCACATGGCGTATGGCATGGTCTGAGCTGGTAGTTGTTGGCTCCGTATGTAAAGATTCGCACCCTTGACTTCAAAAAACCATCGGCCTGCAGCCGTGCACAGATCTCGCTGTGGATTTCCAGCTTACGGAACCGGTCCTCCACATGCTGCGCTTGCGTATATGTACACCACACTGGCCTTGCGCATTACAGTGTGTGGTGCCGCACCGCCGCGTCAGTGCACCCAACCCCCCTCCGCCCACACTCGCCCTCCCTTGGAGGGGGCTGGAGAAGGGAACGATCTGCGTATCTTAGCATCACGGCGACATCTCAAAAATGCCAAAGAACACCAGGAATGGGTGGTTTGGGTCTTCAATTACCCTTACCTGTTGCCGTTTCCGAATGATAACGTTAATGTGGCGTTAGCAGTGCTACTGGTAGTGTTTCACACTGTTGACCATGTCGAGAGGCGCAAGCGACAAAGAGCAAACCTGACTAAGGCAAGTTCCTCCCCTCACCCACAACGCGAACCCACCCACCCACCAAACCACCCAGGCGACTGCACCATAGGTGCCGGCCATGCTCTAGCTGTACAGTCCAGACCCATCCCTTGTAGCTCTCGTGCTTCACGTTCTTGCTAGGCCCTAGGCTTCAATGATGCCCTTCTCTTGCTCCTGCTAAACTGCAAAGACTCCTCCCCCCCAAGTTTCAAGCCACCGCAAAATGCCGGCTTCTGATACGTCGCACTTGGGTCTAACACGAAGAAGGCTTCATCTCGTCGATGAATACACCTCAACATGCACCTGCCACGGCCCGCAGGCCCTAGCCTGCTCTGGCCTGTTTGAGTTGTATTACACGACATACTGCGTCGTCGAATTCACATCCACCGGCTTGCATGCTGACTGAGCTCTAGATGGCACATCTCCTTGTGCTCTGGCAGGGATTGAACAGTGCCTCGGTGCTCGCTCACCCTTTCCATTGCATAGCTGCATGATACGAGCCGAGGCACTGAGGGTCGAGGAGACCATCCTTAGCAAAACATAAGAAACAGTGACCGACTACCAAGTCGAGCCGGGGGCACGGAACTCTCTGCTTTTGCTAAGCTTCTTTTGGGTCGAGGATGAACTTGCACTCGATGTAGAGGCTGTAACTCTCGCAAGTCTCATGCTGTTCTCCTGGCTCACATCCAGAAGCACCGGAAGCATTGGAGTATTAGGGTCGTTAGAGCTCAGCATGCAGCCGCGACCATGGCACTTCTCTGCCACCCTTTTCTGTGCTCTGCGCGTATTTCCGCGCGGGTCTCTCCCATCAGAGTCTCACTATGCCTGCCAACACCCATGGGCAAGTTACAAGTTGCTACTGCTACAGTAGCACAGAGCCGTACAGAGCCCACAGAACGTTGGCCTCCGGAGTTTCAGGTGCCCAAGGCTCCAGCAGCTTGGACATGGACCTGGAGCTTCACCAGGAAAACATGACCAGCCCTCATCTCGCTACGGCAAGCGTTTGAAGCCGCACCCTGCCAGCACAAACCTTCCATCCCGCACGGGTTCAGCCAGAAAATGTCTGGCTTCAGACCCTCGGTTCAAAACAATCCAGGCTTTAGCCTTGCGCGCTAAGCCCCATCTAACCTCAACCTCAACTGAGTGCGCTTTATCATAATATCATATCGCATGAACAACATAATTCCCTCCATAGCTGCGCTTCGCACGACGATCCACAGGCAGGCAATAGCAAAGGAGACGCTCCAGTCACAGGCAAATCGTTCCATCTGACAAGAAGATCTTCATCAGTCTATGGCAGTTTAAGTCTATGTCCTGCTACTGGTACAAGAGTGTAGCCTCGCAAGCCCGACTTGCAAGCAACGCGGTAAAGATCGGCAAGGCCCCCCCACGCGGTGTCGTCGGACAAGAGGGAGGCCGCCCTGCAAGAGAGATGGTCTGCAGAGAGACTCTTTGCGTGATTTCCTCTTCGGTTTTGCAGCTTCTCCTCTCTTCTTCTGGACACGTCTGTGCTGTGCTCCAACCTCGCGAGCTCCTCTCGCAAACGTTGAAAGCTCCACCACGTCATGCCTGCATCCCAACAAGCACACTGGAAAATCACTTCCATGCCAGGGAAAACGAGGCGACCACAAAGAGTTCTTGCACCTAGCCTGCCGAGGCTACTTGACTTCCTGTGCATTTCGAGGCGCTGCTTCCCAGGTTGGTCTTCGGAGCGAAGGGATCTTCGATGTTCGGCCCGCACTCCACCTGGGACGGAATGCAACGTGACCTGCCTCCGCCTGGACCCTGTCGAGAAGGCCACCGTCTTCCCGTCATCGTGCTCGATGAGGTTGATGGGCCTCGGTCTTGGTCGGAACTCGGGGGAGCTTGCTTTCCAGCCAGGGATCCCCGCAGCGACAGCGGGGCCGGTCCCGGGGTGCCCCTCAGGACAGAGACTGCCTGGACACAACAGTACCATCGACTCATCGACTCTCGCCTAGAATTAGAATGCCGGTTTCGGCACAGGCAAGAAGCTATCGAAGCACCTGCTGCTTCCAAGGGAAGTTGTTGTAGAACTGCCTCGGCAATGAAACGATAGAGGCGCGGATTGTGGTTGCAACAACACGAAAAGTGGTTGCCCCCCGTGCCCTACGGATCACCAGCAGCCATGCCGATGTAGTGCTGAGGGGCATGAAGCCAGAAAGCAGGTGGGCCAGCGGGACGTTCAGCATCTGTTCCTGCGAACAGGACGGTGCAAAGCCTGAAGCATCTTGGAGCTCTGGAGCTCCGGACCTGGCCTTGGTCTGCCAGAGGCTCTTCTTGTTGCTCCGATCGGGCAGGAGGTTGGCAATGGCCTCTGCAAGGCACAAGTCAGCCGAAGAAGGCGCCCGTCAGAACAGGACCTCGAACTCCTCCATCGGTGGTAGAAGGGCCCCTTCGGATCGCTCAGCCACCTGGAGGTAGTACACCACCAACCTCAGGCTTTGCATTCGATCTGCACTGCATCAACCCCCGAATTCCTGGTAATGCTCCGTTCTGCTTTCTGACCGAGGGCGGAGCAAACTCCACACATATGGCGACAAGTGGCCCTGATCGCCGTTCAATGCCATCGAGAGACAAGTTGGATTCTTAGAGAAGTCGACGCTGGCTTGCGCTCACTGGCATCAACCGCACCTTGGGCGCGTGGCAGACTCCCCGGTCCTTTGCCCAACGTCGTATGATCAGGATGAGCTCCTGTAATGCAAGGCATCACCATCCCGATTTTCAGATAGGAAGTGCCGACAATCGACCGGTCCTTGCTGCGCGGGTTGATGTTGCCACACCTGCAAGTTAGTGAATTCCGCGAGCGCCGGCTGAACCTGCTTTAGCCCTATCTGCGAAGCTCGGCCAAAGGACTCCGTGAGCAAGGCCGCGCTGTGCAGCGGCGCGACGGCATTCACAGCAATGTCGATGGGCACGGCCTAGGGCTGCGGCTTTCTCCAACCCGAAGTGCACCCCGGTCCATGGCCTGGTTAAAAATGCCAAGCTCGGTTGGAACCAGGAGAGTCATCTTCGGCTCGTTCCTGGAAGGCGTCCCAAGCTGACCCACAGTGTCCCACACTACACGCTGGTAGTGAGCTGGGGCTACAGCCCACGGAAGCCCGAGCGACGGAATTTGAAGCCACCCGCCTTCGTATCAAATGAACGGAGGACAATTTCAGAGCTCCAGAAACAGAATCATCTGCATCAAGCAAGACCGACCAACATGACTCACATCAACAGAGGGCCAAAGATCGAATCGAAATGCGACATTGACTGTAGGCTTCCGTGCCGACACCAAGCGGTCCGCACAGTGGCGCAGCCTTAGAAGACCGTCACAGAAAGAAGCTGCTGATGTTTGTTGATGAATCGAGGTCGAAAGCATCTGCAACCCTTGCCGCCAAAATGACAAATCATCTCCTCCCGGGTATCACAAATCATTGCATATGCCAGATGAGTCGCGCCCACTTCTGCAGCATTCGAGGATCCGATGACACCTGAAGGCTGGCAGAAGCGTACTCCCAGCGACTGAAATGAAGCTCGCCGTGACTCCATCGGCTGATCCAAACAGCATAGGTACAAGCATGGAGAGGATTCTCCGTGCAAGGAATACGAAGCCTGCAGTCCTTGAAGATCCCGTCTCTTGGGTGAAACCGGCTGTCCACTTCCCAACAAGACCGAAGGCTCACTAATCGTGTTGTTTCTCGAAGCGCACCTTCGCAGGGCGTGAGGCAACCTTCGGTGACACACGGTCGGGACGAACGTTGATGACCTTGGAAACGGACAGCCCGCGTGAGATGAGACCCCGCTCTCAGCACCCCGAGAGCCGGACGATGTCCACGTCCGGTACGGCCACACCGTTTGCACGGCCTCGTGAAAGGTCACTGCTCGCGAAGCCCACCACTTCCACCTGAGCGCAGCATATTATGGCCTAGCAGGTCAACGCCTTGTATGGATCCCATTCGGCCATCATTCGGCCTCGGGGAGGCTGTTGGCCAGCATAACGCGAATCGCCTTGCGAAGCTTGCAGGGTCAGATCTCAAGCTAAGGCCTGCGGCCAACATCACGAAGATACACTGTTCTTCTGAAGCATCGCCCCGTCCTCAGCAAGACGATCCACTCCACGCTGGCTGGCGGCTGTTGGCCTACAGGTGCCACGGTAGGGGCCCATCATGCATGGTTCTGGGCTCACTCGGACTACTACTTGGAAGCTCTTCAGACAGCTCGAGGTTTAGAGACTGTGTAGTGTAGTTTTGTAGGATGCTTTTCAAAGCTGCATATATTGACGAAGATCAAGCCGTCACTGGAGGTGCATGAATCTGTGGTCGGCACATGATCTGCGACACGAGCTCCTGATCTCAGATACCACCATCTTTTGAGGATGCACTGCCTGCATGATTGACAAAGAACCACCAACAGTCCTGAACCTCCTCTTGAAGGCTTTGTCCTTGAAACTGGGGCGCGACAATTGGCACCTGCAGGCTTACAGCTGGAGGCAGGCGAACCGAGTGCACTGAGGCATGGGCGGCTGGTGTTTGAGCCTGCGTGTCCACGTGAGTGCCGGGCTTCCTGGGCACTCATTCCCCGCCCTGTCCCTGCCGACTCGGGGAGCACGCAATAGAGGCCTCGTCGTAGGGATACGCTTCGGCTTGCGGACCTCGTCAGGGTGGGAAGTAGAAAATGCTCTTGAGTTCTCAATTCAGCTGTCGCATGTACTGCGACTCGCTTGCATGTTTCCGTGCATTTCCTTGCCGTGCATGGTCACACCTCGCGGACGGGACGCTCGCTGGACGAGTCGGAGTCCTGCAAGGTCGACAGGCGTGCAGAACGCGGCCAGTGACGCAGCACATGCCGTTGTGGAAGCCTCTCCCATGTCCAGTTGCAGCTTAAGCCAAGCGGCCGTGGCACTGGCGACTTTCAGCTTCTTCGAGCTGCCTGCTGCGCCCACACAGAAGGCACAGACCCAAGTATAAGGCAGGCTTCAAAGCACTCTTCGAAAGATGACAGGGAACTGCTGGCAGGAACGGAGACGGAGCGCTGGAGCAGCTGCACCTCAACCAGGCGGAGGGAGGCGGAGGCACTCGCCATCTCAAACTCCGCACCCGACAGAGTCACCCGCCACATAGTAGCAGAAGGCTCCGAGGCAAGCGAAAATGAGCTGGGTCAGGTCAAGAGGCACCTTGTGCAAAGCTTGAGGAAACAAGCTCCATGTTCACCCATCGGTCGAAAGGCTTTAAGAAACAATTCTTGTAGAGCTTCTTGCTGCAGACAGGAAGCCACAATGCAAATTGCGGTGAGAACGAGAAGGATCAAGAGATTGTTGGAAGGCTGAATCCTTGATCCACGTAACAGTGAGTCACTCAGGTGAAGACTACATATGCTCGCAAGACTCTCTAAGTCCTGCTTCTCTAAATGTCACATGTAGCATCGCACAAGTTATGTCCTTGGAGACGCCGTCTAGTGTGCTGAGTGCCCAACACAGCCGCGAGAGGGCTGGAGGAAGCCTGCGGAAAACGCGAAAAGCGCAGCCGCGAGCTAGAAGCGTGTTGACTCGAGAGCTACATGCCATCAAAGTGGCTGCGATCGGCCACCTCCATCCTTTGGAGTCATAAAAGGAGTTGACTCGACGATGTCTCGATTGTGCGTCAGACAGTTGGATCTTAAAACCACAGGAGGGGCTTGGCTGAAATTAAGTTGTCCTCGGAGAGCGGACCAAAGTATCGTAAGGCATTTCATCTCGCAACTCCCCTGGTCTACGCGGGGTCACTCACAGCGGAGGTCGCACATGACATGTCATAATTCCACACCCTTCGGCACCTTAGAGAAAGTTACTAAGTTGCCAGAGTAAGCGGTGTCATTCATTTCAGCCTGCCTGCTTGACTTATCTATATTAACCCGAGACGACGCCCTCGCCCTTGACCAACGACGAGTACTGCAGAAGAAACGGTGTAAAGGTTCCCATATGGAATGCTTTTTGCACTGGCGCAGACTCCAGACCCAATCAAAGATACCATCAACTCCATGGCCGGCCTTCAAAGACATAGACATAGCTACACAGTAGATGGATCGTGCGCACGGATAGTGATGCGCCTCAGTCTTTGCGGACCATGTCCGCGAAGCACACAGCTCTGCTCTGGACATCAGCCCTTCATCTTTACCAACTTGCTGCTTCTTCTGACCGTGGTCTTCATGTGATCAGTTTGAAGGCAACACTGGGACAGGTGTGGCAGAAGGGTGGAAGAGCGATTTGCGCACTGAAAAGAACCGATTCACCTACAGACCCCGTGATCTAAGCCCTAAACCCGAAAATGTTCAAAATCCTAAAATCTTTAATCCCTCAACGTCCCAAAAAACCAAACCCCCAAAACCGCATGCCAAGTCCCCCAGAAACCCAGACTCTCTTCGATCACGCTTGCACTGTGACCAAAGATGTCACATGTTCACAAACCAAAACCCTGGTCCGGAGCAGACCCAAGCATTTGGAAACGTCCCCCGGTCGAGCCGGAAACAGGGGCAGGCAAGCAGCTTTTCTACTAGTCATCGGACGAATTGGAACAAAAAATGGCAAGCTGACATGGTCTCTTTCCGTCTTGTTTTGTCATGTGTCATGGTGAGATCGGTGTTGTGTTCTGTTGCCGGCCGCCACGTGATTGCTCTGCACCAGAAGTTGTGCCACGCGCCCAAGTAGTGCTGCAGAACTGCAGTCTGTTGCATGTTCTGAAGGGAGGATCTCGATCGCGAGGGGGCAGGAGAGCTGTTTAAGTCAGCGCCTCAGTCGTTGCCAAGACTACAAAGTTGATCGATGCCTACAGAATTTCGCAATGCGAAACAACGTTAATGTGGAGCTGTGGTGCCAGCGTGTTACAATCCAAGTTGGAAACTGTTCGTCATGCTCCCTTCTCTTGTGAGTTCAGGGCGACAGGATTTTCGTTTGTTCCTGCATGAATGCACTGGTTGGCATGGCTAGGTTTCTACACGAGTTCGGAACTGGCACATCTTGTATGACACATCAAAGGATACAAGAAACGCGGGTGTCACTTTCAAGTAGCATTCTCACATCCTTTTGGGGAAGGCTTCCTTTCCATAGCAGCAACCACAGCCGACAGGCTGCATAAGAGCTTCTGAAGACGCTGCAGAACGTGAAAAGTCTCTCGGCTCCTGGCTGTCGAAGTTTTTTTCGATCTCAGGTGCTGCTGGAGAGCTGTCCTGCTATCAGGACGAAGCCTACAACGCAGCTTCTGATTCCAAGTGAGAAGCCTGAACTTTCGTCGGTGGGAGATCCAGGTCGAACTTATCTCGCACGAGGTTCAACAAGGGGACCAAACCACGTCAAGCATCAGGAAACGCTGCATCCATAACGGAAAGGGAAGGAAAACGAGTGGATTCAGAGACTGCGAGTCTGACACTCTAGTCGTTGCCTTCGGGCAGGAGCTAAAAAAACAAGGTTCACTAGAGTCTAGAGACAGGCTCACTTTTGGATTCGAAGGACCAGATGCCAGACCTCGTTCCATAGGCCTGACATCTGGGACACCAACAAGACCAGATCCATCCCAACAGAATGAAACCAGCCTTTGAGACAGCTACAGACGCGGATTCTCAATGCATGAGATGTCATTGAACAGCTTTGCCAGATCCGATCCACACATGTCTCTACGCTGCACATGCGCTCTGTCCTTCAGCAAATAGTGGTGTTACTGTAACTGGCGCGAGTATCCCGTGAATGTCTTGAGCCACAACGTATGCGGTGATGTGAATCAAGCGAATTAAGCTTGATCGCCGCAAGCTCCTCGACTCACCTGTGACTGGACAAGCTCAGCGTAGACTCTGCAGCAGGCAACGTCATTGTGCAGCCTTCCGGCTCCAGTCTTTCACTTCCTGGACCACTTTGTCATTCACGGCATAGGTGGCCTGGCGCTTTCATCCACATCATGTCGCACTCTGCCTGTCTGGTGACAAACAGGGCCCACCATGTGACGGTAGGTGTTCCAGAGCTCGTCCGTCTCCTCCCCCAGAACGACACGCCTGGAGCTAAGACAATTACCAGCAGGTGCAGCTCAGCTCGGGTGCACATTTCTGCAAACACCTCGCGCTGCATGTGGAAGAATCTCATCACACTGAAAGGGGCCTCACAGCGCCATCGGTCCTCGGGCAGCTCTACTCTGCTCATTGTATGCGCATTTGAGGCGGCAACGTTGGAGCTTCATCAGAGCGACTGCACAGCATGTCGCCAGCCCACATCGCACCCCCGTGTGTCAGTGGTCTGCAGCAAGCGATGGTCATGTGCTTCCTGTCCTGTCTGTGAAGGTGAAGCGGCTGTCCGCCAAGGAAGCACCTTGACCACCAAGTAGGTCAAATAGCAATGCCTTCGAGGTGAACAAACAGCGATGTCCCTTACCATTCGATGTCACTCATGCTGAGGCATCTTGCCATTGCGTCGGCAAGTGCTACGAATTCCGCATGACGTCGGCAACAAGATGGCATCGCAACAGCGACAACCACTACAAGTACGTCTGCATGGCCAAACCGCTATTCATGCGCCTACGACTTCTGCTGGATTCTACTGCAATGGCAACCTGTCAGCGAGCCGAGCAATTCTTTCCACCTGCACCACTTTCACCAAGCGGAGAAGGGCCCGTCGTTCCTGGAGGACTAGCTCCCATCAAGAAATCCAGAATCACGGACAATTCCGAGGCATCACCTTTGTACAATCTTCTGAACATTCAAAAGCAGACGCTGATTTAAAATCCAGTAAGCTCAGCCTTGGGCTTGAAGCTTTCGTAAGAGAGTGGGATCGACGCAACATAGATGGCATGAGCCATCAACCCATCAGCCAGACGTCCAAAGCGCACACGCAAAACGTTGTGGGCTAGTACTGCACAGGCAACCAGCTTTAGCAACTTGAGGTGAGCGCCGCTGAGATTCAACCGGAACAGCTGACATGTACGTGCGCAGCAAAGAGCCTGGGTTCAGGGTTGCACACATTGAAGTGAAGCATGAACACATCAATCTCAATCCTTGAGCTTCCTCTGTGTTGCAGACTGGTGCCCGCGGCCGGTTTGGAACAGCTTGACAGTCGAAGAGTAGCAGAGGAAGCTCGAAATCAAACACCGGTGATGTCAACAAATTCAGGGCCAAGTGGCCGCAAGACGCAGCGAACGTCCGACAGCATCCTCAAGACCAGACTCTTTCCAAAACCCGTCCTGGTCAAAATAGAATATGAGGAAATAGTTGTGTGCAGATACTGGTATTGAATCGTACCAGCCCGGGCAGTTAGCAAAATGAACAGATCGCGTGCACGGCATGATCTTGAGGATGTTATCCTGGCTATACCATACACATTGCAGACTTCGCGGCTAGACTGCACTTTAAAAATTCTCTGAATTCGTTCAGCATCCTGCAGCCCAACAGGAGCCGCTGCAGCTCCGTCCAGTGACGCCAACCCCGGAGTTTGCAATGTCGTGAGCCCTGCGTCTCATCCCGCTGCAGCGACCCCTGAGTCTCTGGGACCGGTGCTGCCGACCGCCTTTGCTCTGCGCGGAAGGGCGTTGGTAGCCTCCGCTGCCTTGGGACGATCACTCGTCCAGAAGCTGGAAGAGCACCGGCACGAACTGCTTTCCCAGTCGGGCGATGATCTTCTGTAGAAAGATTTGGAACCATTCCTTGGTTTCCGACTAGAAACTTCTAACACCCGAAGAGACGCAGGAGCCAGGCTTTCGTCAAATCGGGACAAGGGAGAGGAGCTGGTAGTGGAACGATCGTCTTGCGGGCGTCAGGGCTAGGGCGGAGGGTTTAGATCCCGAAGCCTCGACCAAAGTCGGCGTTTCAAAGAGAACCGGAGATGTGATCTGTGGATTCCCGGTGAGGTAACAACAAATCGGCAATACGGACACGGAAAAAGCTCGCAACCTGCAGGGTTGTGATAATGCGTCGAAGCAGCAATTGTCAGACCTTGACCGACTCGGACACCTTTATTGTGTTTTTCCGCTCATGACGTGTCACAGGCCAGAGTCTCACGCCACGTATGCTGACTCGCAATCTGTCACAATGCTTGCAGCACTGATGCCCATGTCAATTTGAAGCTGTAGCGTGTCTTCGAAGAGATATTCGAACATGCCTCCCAGGGAAACGCATAATTCACTCTCTCTGCTCAGCTACACGACATGCTTTTTCGTGCTTTCAACGACAGACTATTGGCTGAGCGACTTATAATTGAACACTTTTCCTGCTCTCCTACAAATGCTAGTCGTTGCTAGTCAAAGCAGAAGAAGAAGGCATCAAAACACAAGACGCCATTGTTGGCCTTCCTCCGGGCGGGGAATTGAATCGCGTGACTGAGATAAGGACTGCGCTCTTGGCAGGTTCGGTTCGTCAGGCTCGTCTCGCGGGCGGACAGAGGGGCTAGGCAACTCTTGGAACACATTATGCTGGAGCGGCGTGGGTGTGGCCTGTGAAGCGGTACAGCCGAGTGTCCACGTTTGGTGTCACATACCTTCATTCCCCAATAGCAGAGCAACTCCATGCCTCTAACACAAGCTCCAAGCAGCGCACCACAAATGTGCTGTCAGCGGTGTTTTGGACACAATGCAAGCACAAATCAAAAAAATGTCTCCAATTCCAGTTCGAGCTTGGCAGCTTGAGGTCCTCTGCGAAGTCTTTCACATCTCCCTGAGGAAAACACGATTTGAGAAAACACTAACCATCCAGAATACTTCTTGTGCACAAGCCGAGCCAAAAGTACCACATAAACACACTAGCTAGCAGTCCTCAAAATCACTGGCACGTCACTGACACGTCATAACACGTCGACCCTTTCGAACAGAGTGCGACAGGCTTCTCTCCAAGGCACGTATCGCAGAAACAACCTTAGACGTGCACTTTTGGGTTGCGGGTGCATCACAGTTGCACATACGTTCCTTTCCGCTCCCAACGTCTTACCGTGACATGCTTAGCCTGCTCAGCACTGCAACATGTCTTACTGCAAGAGCTGCGACAAGCTTGAGACTACTCCGGATGGAAACTGCGGAGTTCCATTTCCGAACCCGTTCAAGTCCGAGCTGCACTTTGCCGCGCCAGTTGCCCGAAGCGTAGCGGCGGAACACTCTGGGAATGAGGTGATCCTCGCCTCATTCCGCTAACTTGCGGTCAAGGACGAATCTGGCTCTGCAATCTGGCCCTCGCAGGCCTGACTGTAGTCCCCGCATTAGCAGCAGGTCACTCATGTCGTCTTCTTTCAACTCGGAAGGTTCCGCGGAGTCCTGAATTCAGGAAATGGCATTTCCAAAGAACACGCGCAGCGGTCTTTCGGGCGTGAGGGAAACTTGTCGTGGAGGCTACGAAAAAGCTGAAACGAACGGCTCCAGATCCGACACTAGCCTCTCGGCTCAAGCAAACCAGGGGGACTAGTGCGGAATACATGGAGCGGGCATGCACTTGATTGCTTCCAGGGGTCTTGGAGGAATAACTCTCTGTTCGAAACCCCGAACTCACTCCGAATGCGACCTCCTCGACGCTCTCATCTTCCTCCAGCTCGGGCTTGACCTCTTCCTCGGAGTCTTCCTCCAGCCCGCTTTCCTCCTGATCCTCCTGTGAGCAACGCTCAGGAACGCTCCGTGCCGCTGCAGCAGCACCAGCACTGCCCCGTCTGCGAGACAGGCCTCCAAAAGCGCATGCGACTCCTGCATATAAGGAAACAACACGGAATGCGATGTGATGCATGAAGCACAACGCTCAAACATCCCCTGCCTGCTGCCCGTGCGGCTCTGTCTCGCCCAGGCCGAACTGGCATGCACCCACAAAGGCTAGGATCTGTGAAGCAAAAGGGGGAGCATCTGATCGCTATGGCACAGAGAAGAACGGGCCGACAGGAGGCACTCCACGGAGCGACCAGTAGAGGCCGGTCGGACTGGGTGTGTCATGGTATGTCGATATTTGGCTGCTGGGTCGGCTGCTGCTTCCCCATGGCTGCTGGTGTGAGGCGTGGTTCGACAAGACCTTGACCATCACGGATGGAAGAGGCGTCGCAAGTTGTGCGATGCACAGTCGCGTGCACTGACACTTCCTGCGGTATCATGCAGATGCTCGTGCTTCGTCTGTCCGCTTATTCACAGCCAGGCACACAATTATTCCCTGCAAGATGACGGTCTAGTGAACCCACGCCTGAGGCCTAAACCCTCTGAAAAATCATTTGAGGTGAACATGGGCGTAGGTGATGTACCACTTCACGCTTTTGGTGCTCGCAAGCCCCTGAGCCCGGGATATCCTTCCAGAACTCCACAATCTTCGACATGTGCAAAGTGCACTAAGGTTTGGCTGTAGCCCCGAGCAACACCCGAGATCCGGCCTGCCCGTCTCCTTTCGGCGTACTTGCCGTTGCAGATATGCTGTTGCGACGCCGCCTGCAAGGAGCTTTTTCTGTGAGCCGCTTGATTTTGGAAGCCTCAAACCTTAAACCTTAAACAGCTTGCGATCCCCCTCTGAAACCCATGGGAAGCAAGATAAACAGGCAGGCGTAATCCAACAGCCCAAAGTGTACAAAGCCCGTAAATGCCACTTTAGAAGAACTTACACAAGCCGCGTGTGTCGTAGGCTACAGAGCAACCCCTCCCTGCAGCGGACTCGGCTGAGAGGCCGGGCCTCGCGGCCAGCGAGCTGCGTTCGAACGAAAGCCGCCGGAGATAGGCTCGCACGCCTCTGCGCATGTGAAGCTCTGTGTAAAAAAACACCAGGAGAGCTACTACCACTTGCGCTTCTACTAAGGTGCAATCCTGCCTAGTGTTTTAACACGCCGCCGATATCGCTGAAATGAAGTTTTTAAAACACCATGCTGCATGCTGTCCCAGCGACCTTGTTCCGTGTCCTCTTTGCCGATGCACCTCAAAAAACCCGAGACATGTTCGTACGTAGCATACATGTGGCGTTTTTGCCGCTGCCGAATTGTCTGTGCAAGGAAACGGCACAACACGATGCACACCTTTTCCGTACAGAGTCTGACAAGCCAGTCAGGTGAAAGTGTGCAGAACAGAATTTGTTAATTGGGCGCTGGCTGTAGCAATTGTCCCTTCCAGGTAAGAGCGGTTCTTTGTGTTTCGACATATAGTCTTGCATACCTGCATGCGTAATATATACAAACTCAGGAACACACAAACATATCAAATTGACGCTTTGTGGAGACGTCTGCTGTCAACGTGCCCCAGCATTGTGTGTGGATCCGTCACTCAACGTGAAACAATGACAATGTAAACACAGCTGAGTTGAAGCCTCCGAGGCCATATCCATATGAAGCAACCAGTGAAACAAACACCTTGTTCAAGCTTCAAGTTCGACATGAAAGTCGAATCTTCAATGGATGGCAGGACGCTGCATG